TAGAAGAATTTAAAAAAAAAAAAAAAAGAGAGAGAGAGGGAGAAGATGAAGGAAATCCAGAAGAAAGCAACTGAGCCACTATTTCATTAGTGGGAGGAAGGGAACAAAGCAAATGGTCCAGCTCAGGGCACAACGACATGGCTACAGAAGACAGCTAAGGCCTTAAAGCCATGTGTCTGGGGGCTATGGAAAATGCTTCTCTAATGAGGAGTTTTTCAATTATACCATGAAACAATGGTTTGCTAATCTGCAGCAGTAAAACCGATGGCAGTTAAACGGGATGGAATTTATATCAGGCTCCAAAATTTTACTTGCTGTCTACAGTTTCCCTGCAGAATGGCTTCAGATTACATTGCACTCGTGTGAAGTTGCCGAGTTTTGTCATCTGACGATTCCACCAGCTCACAGCACATCGCGGGAGCTGCCGCCCTCATCTGACTGCCATATGCCCGGGAACCATCCCTGCAGCACACAGGCACCCTCACATCAACAAAAGCTCTTCCTGGCTGGGGGTTTGCAGGATCGGCTGCCATACAAACAGAACGGCCCGTCTGCAGCACCAGTTAGCTGACATCCTTCTTGTGTGGATTCTTCATGTGCCTCTCACCCCAGGATCCAACCACACCAGTACCACATTTCATTCATCTGCAACAGACTGGATTGAAAATTCAACTGAAGTTTAATTAGCATTTGTTTGGGTTGTTTTTTTTTTTAATGTGATCCTACTATTGAATTTTTCTCATTTACTTCTTTTGTTTCATGGATTTTTAAATTAGTTCAGTAACTATTTGCTAGGGTTTTTCACACTGACCCCATCAGGTGACTGCTGTATAGAAAAGGATCTCCAGCTTTGATCCCACTCAGGCTGGGGGGAAGGGAGAGGTATATCGTTCCTTCAAAATTCAAATAATTTTCATGAAGACTACAGAAAATTACTTGTGGTCTCTGAGGAGCTGGCAAAATCCAGATTTCGGATTGCTTTTGTGGTTCTGTGTCCTTCCTTTAGGTGTGTGTGTAATGATGTAGCTCTATTTGCACACAGAAGGAATCCAGCTGAGAGCACATTTTATTATAGCTCCAGATGATGTTCAAGAGGATAAAAAACTCCTTTTTCTCAAGTGGTCAGAAAACAAGTCCCAGCTAACTGGCATTCTCTCCCATCTAAATTATGCAGAGGAACTCAAGCCATTTATAAAGCAGTTTCAAAGATGACTTTAAAAATAAACACATGAAATGCAAAGAGAGAGAAAGAGAGAAGACAGTCCTGGACTTTTTCACCTTTTCAATCAGTTTTTAATCTCTTAAGAACAGTCATTTAAGTCAGAGTAGTTCAACTGTTATAAAACAGCTGCTAAAGCATTCTTCCATTGTAAATTAAGCTGTGAGTTTACCAGACGTTCCCATTGCACGACTACAGCACATAAACACAACATCGGGATTTAAAAAACACTTAGGGGGAAGGTAAGACCTAAAGGATCCATGACCTCATGATAATTCAAGTCAATGACAAAGTTACAACAGATTTTGTTACTAGTAGATCATGTGTGATAACATAGATGCATAAATATAGGGAGAAGGACCAAATGGAGCTCACATTTCAGGGTGAAGGCCAGGTTTCATGCCCTTGCAAATGTCTCCGCTTTAAACAAGAGCACTACCACACAAAAATGAATTAAGGTCAGCTACGCACTGATCACATTGCAAACAGTAATAACACAGCATTCATACTGGCTTTCAGTTTCAGAGCTCTTCTGAACACTCACACAACGCTCTGGGACACACCGAGGAGGAGGAGGAAGCCCCCCATGTGCCAGACCCAAACAAATGAGGGTGGTGCTCTCCTGGACGCAGGATAGAGAAGCAGAGCAGAATCAATGCCTCCCTCATCCCTGTAGGTGCAAGCTGTATAAACGGACAGCCTTATCTATCTTTCAGCTCCATCTCTCTGCTTGTGACAGTAGGCAAGGAGCCTGGTCTCTCCGAACCCTGCCCATCGCAGGTGGGCAGGCCTATACACAAAGGCACATACACAAAGGCCTATGCCTCTGTGGGGATCAGTCCCACAAAACCCACATTAGTGAGCAGAGGGTCTGCCAGTGACCTGCTCCCCTCAGCCACTAACGATGCTTTACAGGGGCAAGCCTCTCGAGAGCGAAGACAGAAATCCTAACAATTACAACTCAATTAATTATGATTATCAATTGTGCTTGTAAAAGAGTATGCACGTGTATACACAAACATCAGAACAGACCTTAAATGGGTGATGTTCTTTCAAATTTTATACACTGCTTGAGTCATAAAAAAAACAACCCAGCTTCCCTCAACTCTGTAAACTCCCTTCCCTCTTTGTTCATATTCACTCTTGTATATCCATCATTTTTGACCCTCTACCGATTTCCATTGCTGGGGCTCATTTTCTGTGACTTGAGAACCTGAAATTATACTATATATCTTTGTAGCTCATTGAACTTACCAGCATTTATTTTAATTTAGTAAGGAAACATTTGGCTGGGTGTGACCAAATAAATACTGTGTCTAAAGCAACACAAATATACTTTGCACAAGGCTATAAACCTGTCTCAGAGCTCTAATGATATTGCAAGTCAATGAAGCTTCAGTGTTCTCATTAACATGATTCCATCAGACCTCTATGCTGCATATTATTAATTTTCAACAATAGACGGTAATATAATTATAGCACTGTGGGGCAACAAAAGCTGAATCCTGGTAATAGACCAACGTTTTAGATTGATAATGGCTTTAACACCGACCTAATAGTTAAAGGTGAACATGCACAGTGGACATCAGACCTAATTATAAACAAGACAACAGGGAAAAAATGCATCACCAGCCTGTAGCTACGGAGACGAAACTTTCCACAGGGAGCAAAAGGCACAGATCTTGTCATGGGGTCAGGAGGAGTTTTGTCACCTATTTTGTCACAAAAATAATCAAGAGCTTTGATTTAGAGAAAGATATTATCACAATTTTTCCCTACCTTTAGTTGGCTTTGTGATCAAAGGAGCAAAGTACCTGTCCTTTAACTCAATTTGGGGGTAGGAATTAGCATTAGAAACAAGCATATTTTTATGGAGAAAAAGTAAGCCATCAAAATCTCTTTTGAAATCCATTGGGATGATGCCATTAGATGATGCCACACTCACACTGTTCCTCTCCACAGCCTGCTGATGCATCACAGGGAACACAACCAGTTTCTGCAACAGACAGCAGATGTGATGGTTCTCAGCACTGCGCTGAGCACTGAGCTCACCTTGTGGCCGGACCTCTGAGCAGGAGGGAACGTGAAAACCTAAGACATGTTCAACTTCTGTAAGAGCAACTTCTTGTGAAAGCCAACACAGCACAATTTTTTGGTTTAAAAGGCATTCTACTCACCAAAATTTGCTTTGGAATTGCTTGTATTTTCTAAATCAGTCTTTTGTGCAGTATCTAGAAATACAGTACAGCAGTAATAACGTAATTAGTATTTTCACTAGCTAAATTATAGAGCTGACTGCAGAATGTAGCATAGTAATATCAATATTAACAGTTCAGCATTATACAAAATGACATCAATAGTTTTAGTACAGTCATGAGAGACATTGTAATTTCCTCCTTCTCTGAGATTCCTTCAGTTTGTGTCAGGTAAGGAAACTCACAGAATCCACTGATTTTTAGTTCGACTCAAACTCTACAATTAGCATCTCAAAAGTATCTTAGGTAAATTTTTGAAGGTTCTTGAACAATATAATTAATATTGTGTTCAGAAAGGAATATGGCATTTAAGTCCTGCTGCACCAACCTCTTACGTGAGCGCAGTATTTCCAGCACTTATGCAAATTAACACGTTATACTCCACAGCTGAAGACAACGTGCAGGGAGATGTAATGCCAGGACCATTAAAGCAGTCTTATGGCAGGTCAAGAAGTGCAAGTGCAAGCTTTGCAGTCTAGTGCTACTCTGCATTTCTGTTCTATCCCGGTCACATACTGAGATCTAAAATTCTAGCAACCAAAGTAGTGGACTCTGAGCAGGAAGACACTGAGGCAAGCATACTTTTGGACTTCTCGCAGTAAAGGACTGCAGTCAGCCACCTCCGGCATGCCCAGAAATCAGGGAACTCCAGCTTACACCAGAAGCTATGGACAACGCCACGGCATCCTCCATGCCTAAAGCTCCCTTCTGACCAAGTTATTCACAACCCACAACACCAAATCAAGAATACTGAGAATATTCACACACACCATCAGCTTCCTTAATTACACTAACTTTATGCTTTACTTTGTAAAAGGAGATTCACTTGTTCTTTCACCGGTTCCATTCAGCTCCTTCAGCATTTTGTTCGTTTGTTTGTTAAGGTGCAGCTCTACAGCAGAGTGATCACTTCAGATGAGACAAAACAATGGCTTAGTAAATCCCTCTGGAAATGCAGAACATATTATGTGCATAACAGTTGAACTCCTTGAATTTCCCCTTCGCAGATCCTCTTGGTTTCCAGTCATTCAGATAAAGAATGGAGCTTTTGTAGGCCAGTTAATCCACCCACTGAATGAAATATAGTCAAGTTTTACACATCCACATGTTCTTTTGAGGCTGTAGTTTACATCTGTAGATGTAATAATAGATAAAGTAATGTAGACAAAAATCATAGCTTGGGCCCCCAGAGAAGACCTTTAAAGACTGAGGTTCAAAAGTCCCCATGCTGCAGTCAAAGCAACTGGCAAAATGATTTAAGGGCTGTCTCTGCTTACATTTACTTCTGCCAAAGCACTAGCTTAATTTTCTTTGTGTGTCTTAATAAGCTACCTCTGCAGAGAGACTCTTACTTAAAATCTTTGTGTGTCTCTAAGCTCAGAAGGAGAAATTTCGGCACTGCTGAGTGGTATGCTGAGACAAACGCCCAGAGGTGGTGTCAGGCTCAGCTGCAAAATGAGTCTGTTCTTCATTTTCTTTAACATCACAGTCACAGACTAGCATGAAAACAGCATTTACACAACAAATTAAAATGCAAATCTACATTTTATTCTATGAAATTGAGACGAATGGTACACACTTGAAGCTTGCCAGAGTAGCAATTACACACATTAATATAGTTTTAGATGATGACTTAAGACAAACAGGAGGATAGAACAGAATCACTGTACATCAGAACCTGTGAAACACTCCAAGAAAAAAAAAAAAAAAGCAACTCTTGCTCTAGTAAAGAAAGCCTAAACCACAAATTAGTGATAATTCTGCAGGAAAGGCCTCAATCTGCCTTATGCAGATGTGTACTGCCTGGGAAGCCTCCAGCCCCAGGTGTACTACCATGCACGGAAGCAGCCTGCCAGCAAAGGAGAGCTGAGGGCTTCTCCAAAGAGGGATCTTGGCTCGGCCAGGGCCGAATGGGATGTGGCATCACCAGAGAGGGAGACCTGCGACAAAAGGCCTTACAGCTCCTCTGGCCTGGGACAGAACTGCATAACTGGCGTAAAGAGGGATTCATGCTAGGTCTGATTGAGACTGTGCACTGCACAGTCAGACTGCTTTGAAGGTTTGCCTTTTGCAATCATTTCCATTGTCAGGAATCAGAAAAAAATGTGAGAAGACTGTGGACAAAGGGTTTAGGCACTGAAATTTAACCCAGTGGAATCATTATGGTGTAACATATTTGTCAGGGAACTGATGCCTCTATGCTCTTTCCACAAAAAACACACCCATTAGCATCGTGTGCTGTGCACGTGCACCCAAACATCTGATGCAGCTATGGGTACACATCTGAATGCCGACCCGCCCTCCCAGCTGCACTGCATTCAGCCTTCTGCAGTATTTCTCCCCTGCTAGGGAAAACAAAGCCATCAGATCCTTCAGGATTCTCTGGAAGTCCTTGCATGACATTTTCTTTCAAAGAATGTTTAAGATTTGATTTTTAAATATCCATAACGCATTTAAGAAAATTCATTGAGTGTTACAACAATCTTCTTAATATACCTAATGATTTTTTTCCCACCAGTGTCATAACATTATTAATGTCAAAATATGAATACCGAAAAGGAAAAGGTTAGTCAGTTCCAAAGCTGTTCACTCTGATGCAGGCTAAGGCAAGAACCCAGCTGGTGTGGTTTATATATCAGCAGTCATGACACCAACAGTTTCCATCTCAGTTATGCTCTGTACAGCCAGCTATTGAGCAGCCACAAACTCCTCAAACTAGTCCGAGAGCACCAAGTGCCTCACACCAGGAGCACAGCCCTCTGTAGAAGTAAACCTTAGCAGAAGATAGCCCACCAGTGTTTCTGTGAACCAACGAAAAATATGCTGACAAGAACATGGTAATTCGGAACTTGGCAAGGAAGACTCACTCTAAATCATTTCCAACTGCATTAAGATTTTGCTCCTGTTTTACAAGTAACAGAAGATGCTATCCCTGTTTTATAAACTCATTCAGCTAATATGTTTAAGAAAGTAGACAAGTTTCTCCTGCAGGGGTTTTCAAGTATTGTATTTCCTTGCAGCTGCCAGAATTTCGACATCCCACCCCAGAAACACTGCATACTACTCCCTGGGAAAGAAAAAGAAAAGAAGAAAAGCAAACAAACAAACAAAAAAACCTGCTGCGTACTTGGAAGAGGAAAATGGCTAGAAGAACAAAAAATGATGAATGACAATTACCTATTACTTGGTGAATACTGTAGGGTTGTATGCTGTTCCCTGTTGTTACAGTACGCAGCAAAGTAGAATGTAGAAAGTCTTTTTACTCTACCTAAGAGGGCAAAAGTATTTTCAGGATGTTGTATACAACAGAGCTCATATCTACAATAATCTCCATGCCAACATGATTTGCAAGTTCAAGACTAAGTTCCAAATGTGTTTCAACCCACCTCTGCAGTAGCTTCATCTTTTGAAGAGAAAGTACTGAGCAGTCTTAGTCCCACCACTCAATTCAGTGAGACTCAAATATCCTCAGTTTTCCTCTGGATGTGCTCAAAACTTTGCTAATAGCATTCCTGAAGTCAAACAATTTTCCTCTTCCTGAGAGGCCCAGGTACTGCCGACCCAAATGGGGCAGAACCTCAGAGTCCTTGCTCTCCTTTTGTACCTGTGGGAAGTCTGAGTTCACTCTATCCTTTCCGATAGGAACAATGACACATAAGCACACCAAATAATGTATTGCTGCTTCCCTCCACAGCAAATCTTGCCTTAATTAGGAGGAACTTTGCAGATGTACTATTTAGCATGCCAGGATCATGACACTATTGTAGCATGCAGAATACAGCCCTTTTATCATCATCAGATCTGATTACTTCTCTTTTTAGCAGCTACTAATGTGTTTGGGGATGCAAAAATCACATCACTTTCCGAAAGGTAGTGGTGGGAAAAAAAAATCTCAGCATAGAATGAATTCTATAATTAGAAAAGGCAGAGGGGATATCGTTTTCCTCCCCCTCATCAAGCTTGGGAAGCTCTAAACAATATGCAAAGACAAAAGGGGGAAAATTGATAAAGTGCTGAGAAGGATAAAATTTGAATGAGATAATAACAAACCTTTCTTGTGGAAGGAAAAGGAAATGACTGATTCTAAAAAAGCCTCTGTGATAAATCAACACCCTCGCATGAAATTCCACTGATATATGCTGCAGCGTCTGGTCATAACGTTAGAGAAAAACAAATAGGAACAAAAACTTAGCAACATTTCTATAAAGAACAAAACACAGCTTGTTGGAAATACTGAGGTCTTGCTGTGGTTCAAACAGTAGAAGTAGATTTCAGAACCTAACAAGAGTTTCAGCAGCTGTATTTGTATTACAGTCATAAAAGCGTAAACGTGAAATACAGCTCTAATAAAAATTGAAGTTTATAAAACTGGTTGGTAATTTTCCACCCGTTCCAGAAGCATCTCAGAATATCCAGGGGAATAATACCTGAAAGAGAAACATATTGTTTGTGCATTAGACTACAAAGCATGTTCTGTGCCAAGTAATGAAACTATTCATATTTCTATCGATCAGGAAAAAGTCGTGGCATTAAATAGTGGTCAAGGAATTTTACAGTTATTCTCTGACAGCGCTGTAAGAGCTTGCTTTTCAACTTACGGAATCATTTATACTTGGAAGTCAGGTTTTCAAAAAATATTTGGCTTCTTTTAGGGCGTATAGGTAAGTGACTAGTTTTTGGACAGTTCAGCAGCCATAAGCATTGCTGTTTCTGGGAAGTGTAGATGTTAACTTCTGTTGAAATGATGGCCTTTAATAACACGGCATGAGTTTACACAGAACCATAGGCTGACAGACAGCAACAGTCTACCGCTGTTTGTGAAACATAACCACACACACCAAAGCCAATGTGAAGTCTACATCACTTCAAGAGGCATTATGGAATAACAACAACAAAAAAAATCACAATGACTTTCTGTCTGTTACAGAGATTATCCAGCAAGTTCTCATGAAAGAAGAATGCTGTGGTGCCATTACTGTCCTGCTGTCACTCAGTTTTCCACAATGGCCAACTACATGCCTCCTAGTATGCAAGGATCATCAAAGCAGCATTTAGTTCTTGTTTTCCAGGTTAAGAATATGTGAAAATTATTACTATGTTACTCTACAAACATAAATCACAGTACATTTCTTGTTTTGCAGACATGTTAAATTGCCACCTCTGAACCCTGGAAGCTTTAACTACAAGGACAAAGGAACGTTTCCATGTACTATATGCCTAAAATGTACTTAAGTGAAAAAACTCCAACGCATTCACATTAAACAAAAATCCATTTAACTTGCTGACTTCCTGGCTGATTCTGTACAATGAAACTTATTAAAATTTTAAAAGAACTCAAATTAGTTCTCCAACCGTACAGGTAACTTGTCAGTGTGCTGTTATCATATACGGGCTGCAAACAGCTTGAAATAATAGGACTCCAAAACAACCCCAGAGCTGATGTCTATTGTAGCAGCTGTGGCTTGGGCAGCAGAAACCACCATCCATTAGCATCAAGATGCACGCAAGAGATGTTGGAAAGGCCCTTTTCTTTGTTATGTCGCAGTCTACGCGAGTAATTTTGTTTCATTTACACAAAAATAAAATAGTTGGACAAGGGAACATTGATTATATCCAGAGACGTATAAACATCCTCTTTCACTCCGAAGTATCAGTAGCTGTAGAATAAAGTTCCTTTATGATTTCACTTTTACCCATTTGATAGCTACTGGCTTTTCCTCATGGAGACAACAGGGCTCCGTTTTGCATGACTGTAGCTACTACTAGCTAAAGATCTCCTTTGCTGTAATTAAAATTGATGATGCAGATTTTCAGAGCCTGTAGAGGGAGTGCATGAGTACGACATCCTTTTGATGTGTTGATGGAGTGAAGGACTGGTGAATGGATATCTAGAATCTAGGGGGGTATTTACCTCCTTATTACAATTTAGGATAGTGACATTTTGACTGTAAGCTATTTAATAGTGTTTCTGTATTCATTAAGGGCAAAGTTCAACTTGGTGCAGACAGCTGGTGTATGGTCCTTTTATATTTCACTTAAGCCTCATGATGAGGCTGGGGGAGGAAGGGCAGCTGTGGACAGAGCAACTGTAGGAGAACCTCTGGACCCTCTGTACATCAGACAAAGTTTCAAAGGAGCATCTGAATATTCTAGTATTTAGCCAGGCTCTTTGGGAAGTTAAGGGTGTAAGCAAAAATTCACTGATATCTGAGAAACCAAACATAAGTTCCTAAGATAAACTAAACTTGCCATAGGTATTTATATCTCTGAGTGACTGTGCTGAAGCCTCAGAGTTTGGCTGGGTAGTGCAGGACTGACTCTTCTTCCCCATTTCCTGCACCAGCCTCATTATTTGGGCTTTGTTTACAGACAAAGAAACCTAATTCCAAAACCAATCAGAAAATAGAAAGTGCTCAGAAGTATATCTCTAACATTTGTGCATACCACTGGGACATTTAACCAAATGCTACACTGTTCTATTGAAAACTAAAATCATGTGGGAGTTCAATTAACATTTTAAATCCTCATTTTGTGCTGCTTCCATTACGAACATTTCATGTTATACATGTGCATTCTTTTTTAATTTTCCCTACCTTACTATTTCCTCTGGGTAGCAGTTGTTAATAGTGTTGATATACTCCTGAAGAAGTGACCCAGGTTCTGCTTTTATTTCTTGAACCTTTTTAAGCCCACCAGTTGTTACAAAGAGACGACGTGCTTTACTGTCATGTGGTAACACCTACATAGAGAAGTATATTAAAAATATGTACTCTATTAAAGCAACCTCTGTGCTACTAGCCTCAAATATTGCTAACTTGTTTTAATTCAGAGGACAGATAAAATGGAACACATTAGAGATACAACATCTGTAACGACTTCTGTATTTTAACACGGTTATACAGCAAGTATCATAAACCAGCCCTTTATTGTTAAAGCATAATTTAACATGTACTTTAATACATAACACAGATAAAAATAGCGAATTGAACATTTATCGTTACATAAATAATATTTCTTGAATTATCCCTACAGAGACAAGATGATTGTGGAGATTAAACAGATAATAAAAACAGAACACTAACATGGAATAACAACAGCATTTGTTCCACTTAAGCCAAGTTATTCGGGTCTTTTATGTCAATTCCCACAGTTTAATTGTAGAGCAGAATTTTATATCATTATAATGATCTAGTATAGATTATTGCGTGAAGACAATACTGAGAATTGTTGCAAGTGAACAATGCAGCCTCGAAGCATTACATGCTGCTATTAAATTCCTGGATATTAAAATCCTACAACACACTGTGTAGCCATGGAAGCCTTTTTACACACATATACACACAAAGCAAAAATGTGAAGTTTCTGCAGCCAAAGGGGATGAGAAGCAGAAACGATCAGACAATACATTCTGCGCTCCCTGAGTAATGCCAATATGCAGCTCCGTCCAGAGGACGAAAGAGAGGGAGGTGGGGGCTGGGCCAGGCGACGGAGAGCGACAGCATGTAGTCTGCAGGCCCACAGGGCTGCAGGAATAATAATTATTATTATTTTTAAAATAAATTATTAAAAAAAAAAAAAAAAGGATAATCCAAGATGTAAATGTCAGCAAAAACAGATAGGTTTAAAGCCAACTCTGAGAGCTACATACTATGGGGGCAAAAGATTTTTGTAAGCCTTCACACTGATGGGACAAATCAAGCCCATAAATTTGATTGTATGTCAGTGTAAAACATGAGCCTTGAAGGAGGAAGGGATTGCCTAAAAGACTGAAAGAAAATAAGGATGAGATTTCTGGCAGGCATACAGGCAAACAGCCTTCACTCCTCTGGTCCCTCTAAGCTGCAATAATCTCCAAAAAACTGGTAAGAAAAACACAAGGCTGAATAGACACTTCTCCCTGCTGTGTGCTGGGAACAACTGGGAACTCCGAAGTGGCTGTTTCCACGTTCCTCCTACAAGAACTGCCAAGGAACAACTAGCAAGGAGACAGGATCTGGCCCTTTCCCTGCCTTCTGCCTCCACACTGTGGTTCCCAGGCTGGATAAGACAGCAGAAAAGTCTCTTGGAAGAGGCTCTAAAGATAGACTACACCTCAGAGACCTAGTGTCTCCCTCTTCCCAGTCCAAACTGAGACAGCACAGAATTGCAAAGACCGTGGAAAGGGCAATACTAAAATGACACAGTCCAGCACCAAAAACACATAGCATCCCACCCTGAAGCACAGCTTGGAAATAAAGCTTTTACTGTGCTATAAATGAGCCAACAGAGCCAATGCATCTCAGGTTTAAAAATAGGAAATTCCTAAGTTATGGTATTGGAGAGAAAAAAGCTTTTAGTGCAAAGGACTTAATTTTAAATGTATACTTTAGAAGAACAAATGCTAGACAAGTACAGTTTGTTTAATACAGTGTAGAAGAAAAATTAAACAAAACACCAGCTGATATGAAGGGTACAAAACCGCTTCAACAGCAAACAGCATTCAAATGTATACACTGGGTAACCAATTACTACACATTCAACTCTTCAACAGTTCCAGTCAGCACACAGAAGCAAAGGCACTGGATTCTGACTAAATCTCCAGTACACATTACAAACAGTGGCACTTCCAGATCTTTGATAAAAGGAACTGATTGCTAATCAGAAGTGCTTTGCTTGGTCATTTCCAAAAAGATACACCTCACCAAGAGAATCTGGTATCCCCTGCTAACAGATTACATTGCACGGTATTGCACAAAAGAAAGGCCTACAGCTAAACAAGGCTTTCAATTGCTGGTGATCAAATCAGACACTGGAATTTTGATTATATTGCATTATATTGCAAATGTAATATTTTGATATTGCAATGAAATAGTTTGATTGCATTTTGATTAAACCGCATTTCTCTTTACACGTTGTGCTTAAATCAGTAACGTAATTAACAATAAGCAACTGAAAATTTTAATGGAGATAAGAATAGTGAGGCCTTCAGACTCTAATGTAAAACATCCAACTTAAGCCACTCCTGGACAGACAGCTTGCAGTTTGTCTAAAACAGATGTAACTGGGATTTACGTGATACTTTGGCTCAGTGAAAATATTCGCATGAGAGTTATTTTGCTTCATCTCAAGAGGCAAAGAAGAAAAAAACACCTTGCTTATAATTAACTGTTTTCCTACTGTCCTGGGATGAACTATAGAAGGTTCCAGATAAAACCATATCCATCTTTAACAGGCAACAAAGCACAATGCTCCAAACTGCTTCTACAGGGGAAGCTTGAGGATCCTGAGACAACAACTAAGACCTATATGAAGCATCTATATGCTTCATATTTGGAAGGATAACTTTCTTGATAAATGGAAAATGATTACTCATCAAGCAGAGCCTTTTCTTACCTTGCTAAACTGCCCAATAATGTGTTTCATAATGTTGGGAGGGGCATCGTGCAGCAATGGTTCAAGTGCTGGAAGATAAGTGCATTTCTGAAGGATGCTCTTTAAGGCTCTTTTAGTCTATTGAAATGCAAAACAAAATTTCTACAGTGAGACATCAATGAAAACAACAAGAATTCATGAAACATATCTCTGAAGTCTAAGCAAAAAAAGCAAATTGATCAGAATTCTCAAAGTGCATTTTTTAAATAAAAAATATTATATCCATCAAGTCACTTAATGAAGAATCAATTTTCTACTTAGATTTATTAAGCTTCAAAACCTATGGTGCATCATATTATTATTAAGTTATCTACGGTCAAAGTAATGGCAATTTGACTTTGGCTACAATGGAAGCATGAGTAGACCCTTTAAGAAAATTGAAGTACTTCAACATAATAAGAAAGCTAAATCAAAATACAGTTTAAAAGATTGTATTTTACAAGCGGCTTACTGGGAGAGCATGCTGGTGTGGGGTAGCAAAGTGCATTACCATCCAGGCAGAAAGGAACAGGGACAGTGAGAGTCAGTGCTGGCTACAAGAAGCAGTAACGGCCTCACTGGGTCAGATTCTAGGTACAGCTAATTTGGTCTTGATATTTTTGTGAGCACTGAAAACAGCAATACAGAAGTTGTCATCTTGTCTTACAGATCTGAGATTTGTTGTACTTTGGTGGACTGTAAAGAGGCACAGTACAACCTGGAAGAACGTATCCTGTCATATTATACTATTCAGTCAGTTCATTTACTGTCACCCAAAACTACCCTTTATCAAAGTCCAGCTTTACTAGCTCCAATGGAATTAAGGCCCTAAACAGGAACAGTCACATGTTTTCAAGAGAAGAGTACTTCGGGTACTTGTTACAGTTTTATTACAATAATAAAAATGTAAACAAATCTACTATGAGCTCTGTCACGCTTCATACAAGAGCCCATACTTGAGAAAAAAAGGTAGACAATTAGTCACTTGTAGGACATAACAGTATTTGTGAGTACACACAACTCTGATCTAAAGTAGGAAGAAAACGAAAGATTACACTGCTGTGGCTGTATCATATGATTGCATATGCACCATACACATACCCATGCATTAGGGCCAGTCAGTCCTAGTAAATGATACACAGCCTTCAGGCACAGGAAATCCATAACTTATTGAATATCAGTAAAAACACATACCATGTATAGTTTTTAAGCACTTAGATACGTGGTTACATTGAATATCTCATACTGCATATACTTTGAATATACTTGCTTTCAGCTGAAGATCTTCTGAACTGCGTGTGTCCATATACATAGAAAGCAGCGTGGCTAGCACATTTGTTACTGCTACTGCACGTGCATGCTCAGGAGTATGTCTGCCAATCTGTCCCAAGGCCCACGCAGCTGCTGCCTTAATATGATCTTCATGTTCTTCTAACAAACAGGTACACAGTGGTGGTATTCCCTGTAGCAGTAACCAAAAGCACTGCCTTTAAACTAATACAGACTGTTAGAAAATGTTTCTCTACTTACACTCTTCCTATAATATAAGCTAGAAGAGAAAGATTGCTATTTGTTGTCATGTCTTTACATCATCGTGACTAGCAAGAATTTTGAATAAATCTTTACAAATTTAGTTAAACAATGAGAGAAACAGATTCAATATTGTGTCCATTTAAGCTAACAGACTTTAAGGGATAAAAAGGAATGCATCACACAATTCAGGCTGTACTAAGACTAAAGTCTGCTTGAGTTGAGCAGTTCATGTTTGATGCATCCAATATCTTCCAAAAAAGGTTTAAATGCTTGATGCGAAGACATCAAGAGATGAAGAACACCTCACTCACTTCTAGCAGTTACTGAAGTTCTTGTGGATAAGGGGTCTCAATCTTTATCCCTTCTCCACAGAATTATGGAGCTGTTCAGTAGCCAGTATTTTACGTCCAGGATGCTTCAACAGATATCACCACTTCACAGTACTTTAGGTGGGTCAAGGCTACTAAATCTCTAACTATAAACACATTTTCTTCCATCCTCTGGATCTTCTATGGCCTCTTCTGCATCCCCTTTGTTTTTCTCAAGATCCTTCTCAAACACAGACAATGGAAAAATATGCACTTGCAATACAGATAGAATCACTACTTTTGTTCCAGCAGTGTTCCACCTTCTACTTCTTAACATAGCAAAGGACTCGAGTGCCTCTTTCCTCACAGTGCTGCAGCAGAAGACCACACTGAAGTGTCTGTCCAGTACAACCCACTAAGCCACTTTTTGATATTCATCTTTTCGAGCACTTAGTACAGCTATATGCAGCTATAACATCCTAGGTGTATAGCTTTCAAATGGTCCCAGTTTACCAAGCATTACCTTTTGCATTATGCATCTCTCAAAAAAGCTTGGTTTCCCCTAAAGGAAATATTTTTAAATGGGATTCAGATCTTCTGTGAATCATTTGTTAAAATACTTCATTTCAGATGTCTGCACAGATCCCTACAAAACCTTATTGCACTCTCATTCAGTTACAGTAGCAATCATTATTTTTCAGAAATTTAACACATAGGTGGTTTCTCTTGAAGATAAGCCTGGAGTCATCATGATTAAGAGTTTAAAAGCAGAAGCATACTATGCATCCCTTATAGGGGTGAGACATGGGCGTACCCACAAAAGGTGGATCTCCACAAAGAGCAAGCCAAAAGACCGTTTCTTCAGTCTTCAAATGCAGAAGAGCATTTCTTTTTTTTTATCACACCCACCCTCTCTGTGCACATATAGATGTTATGTTGTACAATTTTCATTTTTTAACTTGCAGGTCTACCAGCAAACACTTCCATTCCTCAGTTTTTATTGCTTGGTTGTCTCTATTCACATGGTAAACTTTAAACCGTAGAATGATTTGGGTTGGAAGGAATATTAAAGATAATCTAGCTCCAGTTCCCTATCATGGGCAGGTGCACTTGCTCAAAACCCCACACAACCTGGCCTTGAACACCTCCAGGAGTGGGGCATCCACAGCTGTGCCAGCACCTCACATCTTCTGAGAAAAGAATTTCTCTCAAATATCAAATCTAAATCTACTCTTTTAATTTAAAATCATTTCCACTTGTTTTATCACTGCACTCCTTGATAAAGATTCCCTCTCCAGCTTTCCTTTAGAACCCCTTTAAGTACTGGAAGGCCGCAATGAGATCTGCCCGAGCAATTCCAGCTCCCTCAGCCTGCCTTCACAGGAGAGGTGCTCCAGCCCTCTCAGCATCCTCATTGCCTCCTCTGAAGCTGCTCTAACAGGTCTGTATGTTCTTCATGCTGAAGGCTCTACAGCTGAACACAGTACTGCTGCCAGTGGAGTCTCATGAGAGTGGGAGAATCACCTCCCTCAACCCGCCCGCATGAAAACGGACCAACAGTGCTCAGTGAAATTACTTCCTCCTGTCATTAGCATCATTCACATTAGAATATTACCTCAGGCACTAATTTCATCTATTGCAAATATTGCAAATATCCCTACTACATCATCTTTCTATCCCAATGCCCAGCAGAATTTATTTAAACCTGAAAACATACAGCTTATCTCATTTGAAATATGACTTGCACAATTGAATCAAACTATGCTACATTTCAGAAACTGAAGTCTTTGCAAGTCTGAAGATTTCAGTTGCAAGATTATTCTAACAGTCATGCTAGTGCAATAAAGAATCTGCCATTAAACATTCTTGTTTCAGAAGGAGTTTTGATGTAGCCACAAATATTCATTTTAAGACGAAACAGGCCATAGAAATTCTCTGACTTACTTTTGTATTCATCCAATTGCAGCACAGAAAAATAATGTAGTAGAATACAAATAGTTGTTCAGAAATGCATCCAGGTCATTTTATAAAAGGTTCAGCTTGATAAGGACCAACTCTGATCAGGCTACCATATAACCTCAGACACTGCAGCAGCAATATTACAAGAAAGTGCATTAATCAACAGCAAGTATATAATTCTGTCACAAAACACATGCTCTGCCTATGTTAATTTGTATCTCTTTCTCAGAACACCACTGAAGAATTATAGGAAGAAGGCAAAGTGATAGCTAACCTTGGAGACAATAACTGCCATTGACAGGTTCTCTGAATGAGCTGCTACATAACCAAGCATCATGATGCCAGGCAGTCTGACAGTCCCTTTGCAGCTGCCAATACAATCAATCACAGCAGCAACTCCACCTGAATTTACTATAAACTGTGAAAGCTGTAAAGATAAACAGAACAGATTAGATACTGTGAAGTATCAACAAGCATAAAGCATCACATTATAAAAGTCCTTACATGTATTGCTCCTGACTTAGAAAATAAAACTGGGATAAGACTGACGTATCACACTGACTGTTAAGCACTGAGTGAAGCATGAAGTTCTCAGGAACTAACCTGTCTTGCTATCCTGGTTTTGATTCACTTTACTGCAAGGAAATCAGGATTCTGAATTTCTGATGTTGAAAATGTTGTTCCATGCTATGCAACCGCATTATTATACAAAACAACTTATACATTTACACCAAAGAACCATGCAAATGACAGCCAAATACACAGATGACCTTGAAGACACAACTACTAAGCCAGACGCTCTTTCATACTGTTGTACATTTGTTCTCCAAGCCAGCAACACATGTTCTGTGCAAGGAAAGAAGGAAAAGCTCACACCTCCTCTCACCTGTGTTCTATAGATAACCTCAGCAGCCTTTGTGATGTGCTAAAGCCTTTGTGATCCTCCTCCCCCACACCAAGGCGTGAATCCAAAGACAGCTGTCATGGTTGCCCAAAACCAACTTGGGCTACATCACTCTGTCAACACTGTATATCTAAAGGACACATCCAGGGAGCACACTTCATGAGCAGTGGACTTTTCTCCAGAATCTCCAATATAGCCTTGCTTATAAATGATAATCATGTCCATAGTCTGTGATGTTTGCTGTGTACATTAAGCTACGTGACATGTTTCATTCCAAATGATATTGCTTCTCACATCACTTAAGGGACAGCAGTAGAGAATGTACGGTATCAACAATGCATATAAATTAACATACTTCCATATTATGATTATTTCTTTCTACGTTGTTGGGTATACACCACATCTTTGCAAAGATTCTAAAGTAAAAGTAACACCTGCTCAAGAGTTGCAATAACATAAACAAAAGTTGAAGGCAGGTGGATTTCCAGTCCAGCTGATTTCTAATAGTATGAAATCCACTCTTACCTTTGAGCCTTTTATAAGGAGATGGCTTTATTTGTGACAGAGCCACAGGAAATGTAAAATTACTGCTTAGGAAAAAGCGTTCACATGGTAGCTAACTGCAGTCGGTGATGGCCAAGCTCTACATCTGGGCTCACGCATGTGCAGAGATGTACACTACTACTGCACAGACACAAGCAGGCTGCAAATCTCACGTTTAAACAATTCTCAGCTGTTAAGCTGGTATTACAATGGTTGTGTTCAGCACTAGTGCTGAAACAAATACATTGCTTGCATTTCTTTTCATACTCATTTTTAGAGTCTGTTAAATGTCTTTGTGATTTGACAGATTAATGTAGTTCTAATTATTTATTTTTTCTAGGCATTTTGCATTTGCTTTGCTGATTCTCACAACCCTTCTGTACCTGTTATTGGCAAAAAGACTGCAAATGCTGAGAATCAGATCAAAAGCTCAAGCTATCAGGAAAAAACTATCATCAGCTTAACAATAAATGAGGGGATTTTTGAGTTTCATTGTTGTTGGAAAAATAAAAGAAATGCGATACGAGCACTCCCTAAAAGATGTTTTCAGAGACACACACCTCTGTTATTGTCGCAACACGTTCGTGTCACCTATAAGCTGCTATCATGACTTCTGTGAGGCTTTACTTGTGGTATTTTTAATATCTGACACTGACAGTACTGTCAGCCTAAAACTCCCTTTCTGCACTGATATCTTATGGAATGAAATAGCCAGGTGCATTTTATGCGATTCCCAATTTTCCTAAGCCAATTCATATTCAATACACATCTCATAATATCAGCAAGCATTTCCATATTTTTCCAATGAATATGCCAAACAGCCATTTGCCCTCCCTTTCAAAAAGCAAATGACAGAATAATCCTGTATTTTATTTAAAGTGTAAAATCTAATGATATGACCTTGTATTTGCATTTTCAAGGTTTTACCTCAGGCGAATGCTTTGCTATCTCTCTAATTAAAGTTGCACCATTTTTCTTGACATATTCATCCGAGTCCTTCAGGCATGTGAGCACAACTGGGAAAATTTCTGCTTCAACCACCAACTCTGCAAGATCCACTGAATGCTTTGCTATTTGGCTTAGCGCTGACAGCACCTGACACTAGTAAATAAAAATTGTTATAAAATCAATAGTAGACAAACAGCCTGCAACATGCACTCCTCCTGCACACAAAAATCTATTGCATCAAGGAAAACAAAGAGGATAGAGAAAACAATTACAGCTACTTTACAATTCACTGAATCAATTCATGCACGAATATAATGGCTCGGAACGTTTGCTGGTTGCTGAATAAAAGTTTCTCTTTTGTTTCATGCCATTCAAACTTACTATGTCATAAAGAAGAAACATATATACACATATATAAATTAAAAAATTTAAACTATATTAAAATTCAGTGACATCTACAGAAAAGTATCTTTATTTGCCTACGTTTGGTGTGCCCGATCAATTATTTAAATCACTGTATCTATTTGTTTGAAGTGGCACTTTTATATTTTCTTTTGTTACTGTTAAACACGAAAATTACACTAAGAAAAAATCGTGACTTTTAGTCCATTAAACTTGTGAGAAATTCTTCAACAAGAACAATTCATATCGTATAGCACATTCTAAAATACAATAATACATTTAATATTAACTTATAGTATAATCCTAAGCACACAAAACCTTTTTTGTAACTGAATTGTGCAGATTTTCTCTATTAAAAATATTTGTTAGAGAAATTCAAAGGATGGGGTTTCATACATCAGATTGCATTCCTCACACGATACTTTATAATTAAAATAAATAAAACGCTGTTCATTGAAAGATTGATTTAACTGCTCCTCACTGGGTGGCAGTTTTTATCCAGCAGCTAAATCTGTGAACGTGTTCAGAACTCTGTCACTGCGTAGTTACCTTTTGCGAACGTTCAAAACAAGAGCTTTCTAAAGAAATATACACATCTGTGTCAATGATTCAGTATCAAGTAACGACTAGTAAAATGGAGATTAAAAATAATTTTTAAATGTACCTTCAGTTTAGCATCAGGGTTCAGGATCATCTGAGCTAAGAAAGCGATAGCTCCTGCATCCACTACTGTCTGTGCTAACTCTGGAGAATGCTTTGAAATATCGCTAAGAGTTGAAGCAGCAATCCTTTTCAAAGCAATTTCTGGCTCCTGGATACAGAGCACTAAAAGAGGAACGGCTCCTGCATCCACCACAGCTTGTGACAGTTCTGTAGGTCCAAGGAAAGTAATTAAGTGAGTATGGGTGACTGACCCTTGTGCAAGCCATTTTTCACCCTGACAGATACAGCAAAGGAAAAAGGGGAGGGTGTAGTTCACTGTCTCGACATCTGCATTTCAAATCAGCCCTCCTGGTTTCATAAACCATGTGGACCAATCCAAAACTGAAAAGAATGCAGGTCAATAGATGGACCCCCATTTACATGCACACATTTGAGGTAGATTAGGCTGAAATGGTTTGTTATTCTGTTTTCTTTTTCTTTTTTTTAAAGTAAGCAGATGTCAGCTGTTTAAACCCTGGCTATTCTACACTGATCAATAGGAAAGCATTTTATGCATGGCTAACAACAACACAGAAAGCCAAAGTACCAAAATTTTACCAACCACCTAATTAGAGAGCATTTTACCCTCTTTAAATGATAAGCAGATATTAGCATAGATCAAATGCCAAAAACAGAAATACAAAAAAACACACATAAAAGATTTATCTTACATAAAAGACTGGAAAAACAGAACCGACCAAAATGAGGTTTTGCAACCATACATGGGAAAATACAGAATTTATTCCTTAGTGACATCAAAATGTTATTGTAGACAATTGGATAAATGAGAAATATCATCACTGGGATATTGTGTGTCTGAGATTAGTACAGTATCCTTAACTAACTGCACCTTAAATAAGAAAAAAAAGAATCTGAGCACATGATTAGCTTACAGGGACAAAAATTACACCACTGGAAATTCATTAGCTCTTTCTATATATATGCAGCATTAAGCACAGTCCTAAAATAAGAATTACTGGATACCACAAGCAAAATGTGTTCTGTAACAAAGCTGTGCTGTTTCCAAATAGTGTGGAAAAGCAGTAAAAATCACGATGAATTCAATAGTCTATTAGGTCTTAGCTCAGTTTTGCTACATCTTATTATGCATATCCATTATTATCTTTAACATTTATCTTGACTTGCAGTACCATGGCAACATATAGCTGTTGTATTTCAAGACTCTAACTTAGCTTTTGATTTATAGTCCATCCATAAAGACATTTTCATACTAAGAAAAATATAGCATACTTCATTAAATATACATAGACTAATACAGTTCTTCATGAAATCTGTAAGTCATGTCATCATTAGGTTGTTAGCATCCAAGTAATATTCCTGACCAGATTTGTTTTCAATTAGTGAATTATAGTCACACACTCCAAGGCATGTGATAACTCAAATATTTACACCATACATTATTTCACATGATATCATATTTTAAGCAAAGTATAAACATCACCTCAGAAATTGTAAGTAATGCAGCGATTTTTTAAATAAACTAGTACAATATTAAACCTCCAAGTAACTTCTTGGCTGAAAGCATACAGTGTGCACCCTGCAAATAAACACATCATGTGATTGGAACAAAACCCTGCCTGATGGTCCTGCTGCAAGTTTACAGATTTGAGACGAAATGTACCTGCAGCATGTATGAAAACAGACTGGAGAACTAGCTAAACATTTCAAGGAGTATAAGCTGCATTCAACTTTCATGGAAAAAATAAACCTGTCTTTTTCTCCAAATTACATTTTGATACTGTATGCTGACAGAGAGAAATACATCGGGAACTACTGACCAAAGGTCTGGCTTAATTCATCAGACTGTGCCCAGTTACAGACTGCGTCTCAGAAGCAACTTCAGAGCAACCATCTCAACTGCCTGCAGTCTACTGATGAGATGCTAATATCACAGAAATTACGTCAAGAGGTACAGGACAGTTCTAGAAGAAGGTGTTTGTTTGATACCTTATGAGCTGAAATCAAGTAAGGAGGGAAAGAGCAATACCTTAAGGTCACAGCAATGCCCAGGTATGTAAAAGTAACCATAGAAGTAATTTTAAAAGAGCAAAGTCAATCTGATTCAATTAAGATCAGCTCTTGCTGTTAGAAGCTTGACATCATTTAAATACTGATGGTTACTGTTGGTCGTGGTTAATTAAGTGGTCCTCCTTCCAGTGGTGTTTGTAAAGCTCAAGGCTAATAACTTACCACACGTAGGGCTGCACCAGGTGTCAAGACAGCTGAATAGTAAGAAGACTGTCAGAAAACTGGGGAAGTTGAAGCAGGACAAAAGAAAATACGTATTCTCCCATCACTTCCCCCTGCCGACTCAGCCCAAAACTATGATACTAAGTACTAATGAGGCTATGATAATTGCAATTCTTTTTCTCAAAAAAGATGATTAATCTCCCAAGTTAGTGGAAAATCTTTAATTCAAACTGTGCAATAAGGATTTTAAAAACTTTGCTATCCAATTGCAGAATACAGATAGATATGGAGAAAAAAATAATGCTGAGAAAGAGTTAAAGGAGAAAATACAGTTTTCAGGAAGAAATTTTTAAAAACAAATATTCAGACAAAGAAATTAAAAGAGATGGAATAGAATAAATTACAGAAAGACTTAACACTCTTCCAAGAATGTGTTATGTGGGTAAAGACCAGACCAGCAGAAGGAGAAAGACAACAGGAAAAAAAAGAAAAGAAAAAAATGAATTTATGAATATCATTTAAATCAACAGAAGTTTAGGAAAAAGGCAAGGTCGGAATTGTAGCCTGAGACACAGACCAAAGAACTCACCCAGCTGTATGGTGATTAAGCAGGACTTTTCCTTGCATGAGAGTAAGCAGTGAGTGTGATTCTACATATAAGGAGAGACAACAGAGCTTGGACTCAACACTCACTACAAGTAAGATGCTTTTGTCCAGAAATATGGAGAGGATTTTAGCAGAGGGATATACTACAGACAGGAGGACAGACTGACACAGAGCTATGAGAAAAACTGATAAAGAAACCCATTGGAGTTTAAGATGTCACCATTTCAGCTAGAAGCTGTACTAGAGTTGTACTGATTTGTCTAAGTACAGAAGTGTTCACCAGGGACTGAAATTAATTCACAGTAACTTGAAGCCTAGTCATGAGTTTGCGTGATCAGGAAGAGTTGGAAGTGAACAAAGAGAAGTCAATAAACTCCTGACTACACACCCTCTGAAATCAATGGAGAGTCTTATAGGATTGATCTAAAACAAAAAATCCATACTAACATTAACAAATTAGCAGTAAGAGGAAGGGTTTTGAAAGAAAAAAAAAAAAAGTGAGGCAGAAAAATGAATAAGAGGAAGTGAATGTGATGGTAGTCCCCGGGGAGGAAAACCAATGTAGGAATATAGCAAGAAAGCAGCAGCAAAACCTTCTTTGCTTGGAAACAAATGTATGTTTCAGTCAAGAGCATGGTTCTCAAACAGACCCTGCTGTGGTGGCAGGTGTATCCACAGGAAACAACAGGTTTTGACTAACACAACCACCAATACTGTATTTTTCTGAATAACACGTGATTATGTGATGACCACATAGAAAGACTCTAATCCCCACAAGTAGTCCAAAAGGCTGCACTCCGAGATCACTAATTTATGCAGACCACTTCAACCACAGTGGTGAATATTTCACTGGAAATAGAGGGAAAAGCTCAAATCAGTGGGATGGTGGTTGTTAATTATGGGGCATACTTAGATCTTGGAATAAGACAAAGTTCCTACCAGACTGAAATCACTGAAGATGCGAGCAACGTTGTAGCTGACTCTGCTCTAAGCAGGGATCTTGACTAGAACCCTCCTGAGGGCCCCTCCAACCTGAACTACCCTATGATCCTAAGGCACCACGGCATGGTAGAAAATGAATTTAAATCCTCTCTCAGCAATATGCTTGAGTATAAATAGCATTGATTATTTTCATTTTACTATCAGTTCACCGTATGCTAAAGCAGGTACAAGCACTACTAAATTACATCTTTCATGCACTTCCGAAGGCAAAGAAAATGGGAAGCTAAGTTATATGCATTTCTTTCTAACAAGAATGTTGCATTCAAATTAATTGTACAAGTAAAATTTTATAAAATACTTTTCATGCACTTGATAGCATTTTGATATTATTTGAAACTCTGCACTTCTTTTCAAACACAAATATGCAGTAGCAGTAATGACCGACCAAGTTCAAGCATACACTGATCCACAAACTTTGGAGTAAAATCAGCATCTGAACACAGCTCAAGGGAATCTTCCAGAATGAGCAGAACTGCACAAGCTCAGGCTAGGCTTTGGAAATGGACCTAGCACAATTTCTAGTGTCTTGGAATCTCTGTCTTGACCTAAAATCTTGCAGGCGTTCTGGAAATACCTGTTCACAGATGAATTGTATTTTAAGTGATGGCTGTATGAAGATAGAAAGGAACTTGCTAATCTGTTTGGTTGTTTGTTGTTGTTTTCTTGGTGGCTCTTTTTATTTTTAGAGAAGAAAAAAGAAGTCCCAATTTCTCAAAGTTAAAAGTCTTTTCAAGGGAACATGCACTGTAGTTCCTAGAGAGCAGCTTTATCATGTCATGGATGGAATTTCTGATAAAAACTGAGAAACTGTCCCACTGCAGAGCAGATACCACCTAATGCTAGGAGCCTGTGCTTGCACCCAGAGACTGAGTTTCACATCTCATCTAAGGCGGATCAGGGTGTTAATCTGTCTCCCATAGCCCAGGCATATGCCCCAATTGTGAAACTATTATTGCTGAGGACAAGTAAACTTCCCCCACATCATCCTTTCAGGAGGTTAAAAATAAATAAATAAATAAATAAAAAATAATAATAATAAAAAAATCTTATCTTAATGTTGTCCCTATTTAGAACAGAAACAATTTTTGAAACTGAAAAATTTCTTGTGGGTGGGGAAAACCATTTATCACCCCACTCTGTGTTTAGAGTTCAAACTGCAATATGTGCCCACAGCCAGTGAGAGAAAATCATAACTGCCAAATTTAGACAAAGCAAAAGCATGAGTCCAATCCAGAGTTTCTTTAACAGTAAATACCAGATGTTGATAAGAAGAGATCCAACTTTGGATCCCACCTCCAACAATACTGTTGCAAATGCTTGCAACAGTACAGGAGACATACTATGCACAGAGAGATCTTCCTTCAGTGTAACTGCTCTACTTTCAGTAGCCACTATTTTAGAGGCTTCCTGTGATTGTGTCAGAGAGGAAGGTAAATACCCAGTTGGCTGTAGTTGGGCAGCTCCACAGCAGGGGAATAACTGATTTTTTGGTTGTTGGGTTTGTTTTTTTGTGTTGTTGTTGTTTTGGGGGGGGGGCCGGCCGGTTGCTTTCTTTTTTTGGTTTGTTTTTAACTTATGATATTGAGTGATCTGTCCTTGTCCTCACAATTTCAACCCAATTCCTAAAAATGCTGTGATTATTGCTGGCATAAAATGGTGAAACATCCATCCACCCACTGTCAGTGAATAAACAATTTATAACCATGAAATAAAAATTTGTATAAGGAGTTTGCTGTATTCAGTACCTCCACATCTCTATCTTTGTAGACAGTGCCATCACAGAGAGAACTGGATCACCCTAAAGATCAGCCAGCATCCACACAATGAATAGCATGAAGGGCAATTGAGGTGAGTCAATATTGATTTACTGATATAACAAAACTACAGACATGTTTATGTTAAGAGTAACACAGACACTCTTAGACTACATACATTCATACAAAGGAACACTTTCAAATGACTCTTAGCAAATATATTTCAGATGAAAGCAACATTTGGTTTCAGGGATTCTGATCCAACAGCCAAAAAATAAAAAGATTCTTAGCAGACAGGTGTACCAAGAATAAATTTGTTCCCTGATAAAAAGCAGCCCATGTGGAAGACACTGACAACTCTAGAGTTGGTCCCAGTAACTGGGGAAAATACCCCATACTTTTTGCAGACAAACACTTAACAGCAATTAAAAAAAGAATAGCTTCCAAACTGCTGTGATCCTGGAATAATTTTATCTTTAACCAGTACGAACACAGGCTATTTACTTCATCCTTTCTATTCAGCAGTTTTGTCTCTCAGTTCTTCTCTTCCTAGCTCCAAACTTTTACTTGAACTATATAAATAGCTGGTAAAAGAATTATTGACCATGTGGATTGGCTTTTAAATAGGAACATGACACTGCAAGTGAGTTATATAACTGCCTGCAAGACAGCAGCGAGCTGCTCGACATCAGATTCCTCAAACCTATTCCTGACTCCCAGGGAAAGAGTGTGGTCTGCTGCCTAATGATAATATAGTCACTGCAATGAATTTAGCACATTTATACTGCAGGCTCTGCTGTCAGCTGAATGGATCTTGGTTCTGCCTAGACTTTTCCCTTTTACTATGTACATAAAAAAAGAACTTCCAGTAAGCAAAAGAAATTTTGTTCCACGATAATATTTACATAATAGTGCAGCTTCTGAAATTTCCTCATAAGGGAGAATAAAACAGAATGTCATTTCCCAGCCATTCATCCAATGCATCTCTTCTTAGAGCAACTCTCACACAGCAGGTCATTGTGGATGTCAGATACACCAGCTTCTCACATAAGGGACAGCATTGCCAGATTTGTAAAATTAGAGCAGGTTTTTACCCCAAGTTTAAAATTTTATCACGGGAAAAAAAAAAAAAAAAAAAAAAAAAAAAAAATCTTTTGTTCTGATTTATAATAAATTATATTACTGTGATGTCTGTAACTCTCACACTGTATTAGGTTGAAAGATAACAAACTGAACCTGTTACCTGAATTGTGTTGGGCAATATAACCGAGTGCCCAAGCTGCACCTTCTTTCACTCCAGGGTCAAAATCTTCCAAGCAAATCACAAGTGCTTCCAGCGCTCCACACTCAATTACTGCCTGAGCTAGCTGTGGAGAATGTTTACCAACTGCTCTTAACACAAATGCAGCTGCTTTCTTGTAGAAACGCTATACAAATGAGAAAAAAAAAATGCTTTTTACTAATGTTTAGTAGTTTATGGCATAATAGAGCAGAGACATGCATAAATTAGACTTTTTAATAGCAACAGTATCTCATTCAGAACCAAATCAGGACCACCAGGCATCACACAGACAATGAACATACAGTCCTTCCTTGAGACAGCTCATGATCTAAAATCTGCAGCAAGTGCACAAACAAATGGAAAAAAAAAATAGAGCTAAGAGGATATAGGGAAAAGATAATAGTCTAGATAAGTCTGTTTGTTTAAGTGAGTTGTGAGTGATAAGGGCTACAAAAACAATAGTTCTTCACATATTTAATCAGATTACATAGGTTATGCAGAGCAAGCTCCTAAAACTAATTCTACCCATCTGCAACATCCACAAGACTTCACAGTTTCTGATGTGCATACCCTCGTAACATCACTATGTGAAAACACTGTTTACAAACAGGAAACAGAGACACAGAGAATATGATGTAACAAAAGTCTTTAGGAACTGAATCCCCAAAAGCCTAAATACTGCCTGATGCCCCAGCTAAGATCCTGGGAAAACCCAGACCAGCAGACACCCAGTGTGATACTCCTCAACTTTGACCAGGCAACTTGAAAATCTATTCCTGCATGTGTCCAGAAACAGCTCACTTCCAAGCAGACTAAGCTTGGCACCTCTGTCACAAGTTCAAGAAAATACAAGCACTTGTCTCTGGTTTTCTACTTTTCTGCCTCAGTGCTGGTGCACCCTTGTAACGTACGATGCTGCACACATCATGGGGTTCTACATAAACTGCAGTGGTGGCTGTGGCTTCTTTTAAAAGCATATGTTATAAATCATTTTTCATAGTCTTCTGCAATTTCAAAGCTATCCTTAGTATGAGGAAGCTGAAGGTTACATTTCTTCCTTGCTCTACAGATTCAAAATTCAGAATCCAATTCAAGTACTCCTGCCACAACTGTGCTGGCAGAAAGACCACTCAACCCTCTTGTGAAGTCTCTTTGTAGCAACGAGGGCAAGGTTCAGCAGGACACAACCAACCTACTGCCACTACCCTGTGTTCTTGGCAGCTGGCCTATCAGCACTGTGGAGCAGCTTGGGAGGGCTCCCTCTCCATGCACCAGCTGGATGTTTCATTCTCCCCTGCTCTGTACAGGAAGCCTAGGCAGTTAACTATGATGGATTCCTACTGTCAAGGTACCCAGAACTTATACAAAGAAAACCCCTCAACCCTTTGGGATCAAGTGCATAGAGATGTGAAGCCAAGTTAATGCTTTTGTGCCTCCTGCCAGGTGCCCAAACACCTTTGAAAAACTTCCCCGAGGCACTAAGGTGTGGCAGTAGAGGACTGTCTGCAACAGCTCCATCAGTAAGTGAAGTGGACTCTGAACAAGCAACAGTGCACAGTGTGCCTCAAAGCACATTGGCCTCATGTGAGCCAATGGAGATCTGCTTCTGCCATCCCCTCAACCACATCCAGGCACTGCCAAGCATTTTGATTGCTAGCAATGGCCAAAACACCATTATTTCAGCATATAAAGAGCAGTCATCCTCTAATGCTACAGTGCATGCCCTGTCTCTGCTTAGTTTAGATACAACTCCCTACTGCCAAAAACCCAGACTTCTAAGTTAAGGCCTACAAGTAGATACAATGATTGTAATTTACAAGAAAGACATCTTAGGAGAAGAGAAGTTAGGGGAAACAGTACAGACACAAGTGGACAAACCCCTAGCTAGTTTAAGTTACATTCAGTTTTGCTGAAATAAATGAAGCTAGAATAATTTTGTACCAGTCTACATCTGTGCAAATACGGGTACGTTATTTCTGTTAAGTAATTACACTTCTGGCAAAGAAAAACACTTCTTTGTTTTTACTGTTATTCAAAACACATTTGTTTACAAACAAACTGTATCTGCAGGCACAGTTAGTACATACTGTAAAACTCTGTTTTGCTCAGTTTAATTGACAAAACACTGAGCCGGGATGTGACCCTGTAACTATTCTCCATAAACCAGCAGAATTAGTATTTGTTGTGTGCTCCAAGAATCAGCTCCTTAAATATAGATGTTGATAGTTTATGAGTGAATGGAAATTCAAATGTTTTGGGTTTTTTTGTTTGCTTTGGTTTGGGTTTTTTTGGTTTTTGGTTTTTTGTTTTTTTGGTGTTTTGGTTTGTTGTTTTTTTTTTTGCCTATGGGAAGTAACAAACTGCATGCATTGCTAAACTCTGCATGAACTGGATAATGAGTTTCCTTCACTTGCCCTCAGTCACCAAGACATAGTAGGATTTCCATGACCTCACACTAATCTTGCTGCTGCCCCAACTGATTCTGAATTACAGCCATCTCACAGATGTAGCAACAGCACTGGCAGTAACGTGGAAGAGATAAATCAGGGCAGTCAAGCTAATTTAGTGAGTGCTTTGAATTGTAGCAGGGGAGTGGCTTCCAAATTATTTAAAACAAACAAAAAAAAAAAAAAAAGTTGTTTCCCTCCTTCTCTTAAAAGCATAAATTAACTGAAATGGTCATAAATTTGTCTAAGACCTTTTCAGACTTTTTGTTGTTGTTTTGATTAACTGTGTAGGGAATGGCCAGACATGTAAGAAAAAAAAAAAGCAAAGAATATTTGAATTTGTCTTCTTCAGAAGACTGATAATGAAAATGCACTTTTCCAAACTATACTGCCATTGAAATCATAATATCCCAGAAATGTAATTAGCCAAAATTGCAACTCAAGTATGGCAATGGTATCAATGGACTTAACTGTAAGCTGTCTCCTCCATTTGCCAGTAAGTAGAAACTGTACTGAAAGTGTTTGTTTTTTACTTTATTTAGGCTAGGAACCAAAAATTAGAATATATGGAAAAGCTGAAGGAAAAATGGCAAGAGGGGAGAAAGTGACACTGTGGGATTTATTTGCAATGCAATTGCATAGTAACATTTTTTTTTAATAAAAGATCAAAACCTTAAGGGTATTTTCCTGTATCAGTGGTTTGGTATTTCTTATGCTACAGATTTCCACATGGCTGTGTGGAGATATAAACTGAATATCCATAATGAAATATTTACTATGTATTTTACAAATGTTTGGTATTATTGACAAATCCCGATCAATTTTCACTACAACTTTCCAATTGTCTCATTTTTTAAGAGGAATTTTTTTGTAATACATCACTCAATATTTTAAAACCATAACAATGCCACGAGTGTATTTCTTATAATGCACTGGGGGCTAAGACGAGATTTTAAAGTCAAACTTGTTTAAGCTCAAAGTTATACACACACTGATCTCCCAGAAGTTCAAGCACGCACGCTCTCTGACTTCCACACATTCCTTGCTATGCTAGGAATATCAGCAGATAGCCAGTACAGAAAGATTTCCCTTTACCTGTGCAACAGTTTAAACAAAAGTGATTGCTTAAGAAAACAATGGTGCCTTACATTCTGCTCAGACAGTGAACACACGAGCTGTGGAAGAATGCCTTCCTTCACCACTGCCTCTGCCAGGTCATCGTTAAAATAGGCAAGCCTCCCAAGAGCCAAAGCAGCAGCCTGTCGGATAGTTGGGACCACATCCAGCAAAAGAGGTCTCAGCAAAGATATTACACCTGTGTTACACCAGGAAGAGAAAAGCCCACTTGGTAAACAGAAGTTTTTCAAATCATTTATTCTAAACTTTACATCAACTTTACTCATAAAAAATCTATTAAATTATTCTTCCAGGTAATGAGAGCTTGTAGGAAATGCAGGTGTTCCACTGAAATGAAGTTGGCACTTGGACAGAATTGCTGAAGCATAGCAGTTTTTCATAGGTAGAAAACAACTGTGAAAATTTTTTAAGAAATCACACAGAAATATGGTATATACAAACATATATAAAATACACGTGTTAACGCAGCACGTACAGGAAACCTCATCAGGAGGTTCTGGTGATCTCCCACTGCTGTGCCACTCCTCCAGCCTGCCAGAAGAACCTCTGCCTTGAATTATGCTAAATTACATTCCGTCTATTACAAGCTACCATTGATGGAAGGGCCAATAGCCATGACGTCTTATGATCCGAATACAAGAATTTAAGTTTGTTGGTGGTGCCGTCTTTCTTTTTTTTTTTAATAACTTTGTAAATGTTAACGTGTTCTACTGCAATCCAGAGTTTGTCAGTTAAACATGAAAGAATCCTGAGGATGAAATCCTCATGTATCCTGAGGATATTGCAATATACATACATTGTTGAAATTATAGGTGAGGTAATCAACCATGACATGAACCATTAGCAGTTATAGCCCAAAAGAGTACTTATAAAGATAAATGTTTGGCTAAAAATGGGAAACAGCAGGTGTAAACTTTCCATTCTGGCCATAGGAGGGAGGAGGTCACAGTGCAGGTCTTCACGAGTCATGCATGGACACGTGCCTTGCAGCACTCACCTGTGATCTGGAAGGGGCAGGAGCCATGAGGTGAGACCATGTACTGGTAACCGAGGGTTATTCCAGGGAGTGCCAATGGGGAAAACTAAGAAACTAGGGACTGAATGATTGGATAATAAAACAGCAAGTGAAATCAAACACATACAGGAAAGCTGATCCCAATATCCCACAATGATGAACTTCAAGCACATCGCTACCACTCAGGAGAAAGGTCCCACTGCTGGACAGGCAGCTCCATGGAGACATCAGGTCACTGGTCAGCCGTGGGAAAATAATTATGCACACAGAAGTATATGGGGATATGAAAGTGAATAGATGCCAAATTGGAGACCATCACTATGTTGCTGTATAAATCTGTCCTGCATTTCATATGAATGACCAAGGCTGACCACTCTGTACATAGGGGCAATTTCTACAGTTAAACTAAGACTTTTCAGTATGGATATAAAAAAGATACACGCAGTTTCAAAGTATATGATTTGTAAGGTCTGAAAAGAGAAAATTATTTGTACCGCAGTTCTTTGAAAGCAGTGCCTCTCTAAGAGCCAGCCGTATGGATTAATACTGCTGAGCTTTGAAACTCAGCCAGAAAGCAATGCTCCACGGAGCTGCAAAAGTGCTACACCAGAACTCAAATGACTGAGAGCTGCAGTTAAAAAACTCCGTATCAGCTGCCTCAGTTCTTTGCTCTTTCCACTACATTTGTTTGCATCAGATAAACATTTAGCTGGCTGACCACTGAAGAAAGCAGGACTTCTCAAGGGCTCATAAGCTTCTAAGTACCAAAGGCCTTCTGGTGCAACAGTCCCATTGCAGAGGGATCACTGTCTAATGGCAGGTAACACCTGGATGTTGAGGAGACACAATGAAACAAGGACAAGCCGAGGGCATTAGAGCAAGGATTAGGCCAAAGGGACGGAAATCACAGTAAATTATATCTACGATACACTTCTGTATAGAAAGGCACCCTGAAAAGAACAAAAGGAAGAAGTACTCAAGTAGCAGGGTGATTCTCACGGGTTAAAACTACATTACTTCCAGTGAGAAGAAAATATCTTAATAGTCAATAAGAGGCTCTAAAAAAGAAGGATGAAGAGTGAGAGTGAAAAGCTAACCACGGAGGCCATGCTGACACCACTGAGTTTGCTCTAGCAAGGTCAGCACTGCAAGCAAGCTATGTGCGGTGGTTTCAGCCTCCCAGGATGTTCACAAGTTAAAGCATCACAGGTCTTGCAGCAACACACAATAAAAAGGAAAGTGAAATGAAATCACGTCTGAATAGCACTAGAGAAGTACCAAAAATGGCCACGGTCATAGCATGCATGAATTGAACATGCACGTAGAGACTATGGAAAGAGGACTGCGGTATAGCTGGGTCCTGCTCACACTCTTGTCAAAGCCATGGGGCTGAAAAAGGCCTCCTGTGCAGCAGCAGACAGAAGCTGGTCCTCCGGCACTGTAGGGCCACTGTGAACTCATTGAGCACTTTGCAGGAACCTCTGTTTAAGAATCTGGCCATTGTACTGGTACCCTCTCACAGAACCTTCCAAATAGCAGGTATGGCCTCAATAGGAAGTTACACTTCATATCAGGATGGGTTAAGGACTTTAAAGGACAAATTATAAGTGAAATCAAAACCAGAAAGACACGCAAGTTGGTGCCAATGCAATATATCATCTACAGAGAGCTAATCTTCTAGTAAGTCATCTGCATCCCCTACAGGAAAGCATCTCCTTGTCCTTCTCCCTAATGTAGGCACACCCAGCCCACAGCACAACTGGCAGCACAGCCCAGACCCATCTGCCCTCCCATTTCAGTTCACTGACTAAACACAGTCCTGTGAACAAAAGAAAAATATGCAGCCATGCTTTCTGTTCTGATAGAGGGATTTGAGAATAGGTTTCAAGACTGCCAACAAAAAAAAAAAAAAAAAAAAAGTTTGTTTTAATATTTGCAACTGGGAATTTTCAAATGGAACGTATGGAGGTACAATCAGAGATTCAACTAAAAAATCTGACCATGTCTCTTTACTTTTGTAAGACCTCTCTTAACAGAGAAAAACCTTTCTCACTTCACAATCATGCCTTATTGATCAGAAATCTCTAACAAACAGCTTGAGACCTCACTAGGATTTACAGCCACTGCCATCAAATCAGGGAGTGAGCGTTAGTTTCACAAAAGCAAGGTGACATACACCACTACTTCTTGGTTTTTTGCTTTCTTTGTTGTTGTTTCTTTAAAAATATATACATTAAAGATTAAAATAAGTTATGTTACTTACATACATGAACTATATTGTATATTTTAGGAAGGGTGCTCTGAAAGTATTGCCTCCTATTTTATTATGTTGGCCCACACCACCAGAGATGGATGGTGGTGGTATGGCAGCAGTGTTGGAACTTTCCCACCAGTATTCCAATACACACTGCTGCTGTGTGACAGATGGCAGCAGAGGGGCAGTCTGACAGAATGGTGCATAGGAAGAAAAAGGGGTAGAACTGAATTCTTCCACGTGGAAAAAAATTGCATCCACTGACATTCATCAATGTTTGCTGAATGTTTATGCAGATCTAACAGTGGATGTGAGCACAGTGAGGTGGTGGGTGGTGCATTTTAGCAGCAGTGGCAGTGGGTTATCTCCACTGGTACAGATTGTTAGGAGTACAGCATGCAGGCTCTCGTTCGTTGCTGGTGAAAATGCTTATCTAATGGTGGTGACTATAATGAAAGACAGTGTTTTGTAGCTGAGAATTTGCTCTATTGAACTGTGTTATTGTGCTCTTGATATCAGGTGTGGTTTCCACAGAAATAAATAGGAGGCATTACTTTTGGAGCAACCTTTGTGTATACAGCCCAAGACAATTCCTGTTCACTCAGTGCAGAACAGGCAAGCCAACAAGTTGGACACTCATTTCCTAATGAGTTGCATGATCAAATATCACCTGAAATTCTTACAGGGACCTCATGCTGTTCCAGCTCTTCATACTGCTCCTGCTTTACTGAAATACTGCCAGGCAGAACAGTTATAAAGACATTACATTTGAACCCTTAAGGTAAAATATAAAAACTAGATTCACTTTCTTTTAAGTAGGTTTTACTGACAAAAAAGAGATAGTTAGAGTGGTTGGGAATAAAGGCAACATCATAACACACAATGTTCTGTCCTTAGAAAAGCCAAGGTGGCACATTCGAGGCAGCCTTAAACTTCAGTGACAGAAGTGAGCAGAATCAGTTTATAGCTGATAGAAGATTATAGCTGATAGAAGTTTATAGCTATATAGAAGAACCCATGAGCTAGAGCAAGACCTCATAACGTGTTTTTAGCCTGCACAACATACCTAGTCACTGCAAAAGGTAAAACCACATGCTAGACAGCTTAAATGGCCATACACCTTGAGTTGACGTAAGAATGAGATTTACATGATTTGCATTTTCAAGACTAGCTGATACAGACTTCACTTTTCAGGATCAAGGCTTTTTAGCATGTTTTAAAATGCTGCCATGCAGCATGTCTCACCATGACCACAGCCAGACATTTCTCTGTAGAATAAAGCACATAAAGCTTGCCGATGACATCTGAGCATCAGCACAAACGTCCTACTACAGATTATTTTAGGTGCTGCAACTGAAAGTGAGGATAGAGACAAGAAGTGGGATAGGAGTTACTGTTTGAAGAAAACACTAAAGAAGAGCTGATAGAAGAGTGAATGGATTAAAAGGATCTTGGAAGAAAAAGAAACCGTACTGGTTCTCAAGGAGAATGTATTTTCCCAGAGTGATGTCTGAATATGAGAAAAGGCAGTGACCAAATAATTATCATGACAAGAGCTTTAATGTAACAAGAAAAAGAAAAATCAATTCTTATTGCTGTGCAAGCCTTACATTGACATCAAATTGAGAATTGAGGGATGTATATAAACCAAGATTATGACTGTGCATTGACTTTAATTAAAAGCTTTACCTCCAATTTCCACATTTTCTAAAACTAGTTTATCTTCCTGCATCAAGTTGCTATTCATCAGTTCTGAATCAGATACCACAACAAGACCAGCTGCTTGAGAAGTTTTTATTAGATTCATTATTTTCATTTGCTTCATTTTCCTATTTACATCTTCAGTAAACCGAATATTTCTCTCCATAGCACTTAGAAGAACAGTTAACTTTGCAAATTAAGAACTGCCGCTTAGCGACGGTCTCCTCTAAAACACCTACAGGGAAGCAGAGATGAGTGCTGAAGACAGCACTGGAAAGGACCGCTGTGCTCACCTGATAGAGCTGCCTGCCCCAGGGCCTGCGCAGCTGCTTCCACCTGAGGTACTGCTGCCTCTGCTGAGCTCCTCCGCTTCATCTCCTTCCTGAATATCCTGTCCAGAGCAAAGCCCACCCCTTCTGTTGAAACAAGTCCATACCAGGATTCCTATCAGCTTTCTGAGTTGAATTCAAATATCTGTAAGTCTATCATACAGCAGGAAAATTGGTGAGAACCTTCCAGCAACGTCTTCCTGCCTCTACCACTGACCCACACGAATAGGGCCAATAGAGCAGCACAGTAGCAGTAGCACAGCATTTCGGTGCCTGAAATTTTAGGAGAACTGTTTGGTCACCTTCTGAAGGAGCCTTTTGTGACAGAAGTAGGGAATTCATTAAGTCTAATTCAAAAGCAGCAGCAACACAGAGTTAACTAGAAAATAAGGTGTTTAGACTGTTAGACTGGATTTGTGTTGGAAGAGTTCCCACCAGCAACTCAGAAAGAAGGTAGCAGAGAATTACTGCCAAATATTCTCTCTTGCACCATATAACCTTGCCCGACCTCGGGTAAGGACTGATTCCCCTTTCCATCCTCGGTTTCCCACTCAGAATTGTTTCAAAGAATGTCACACTTAGGAGCTGAATTGCCCTTAACGCGCTCCTCAAGTGGAGCTGTTGTGCCCAGGCCTGATGCACTTCCTTTCAGCAAGCAAGAGCTGGCTGCTGCCTCTCTGGAAAGGAGGTAGGAAAAAAAGAAAAAGGCACACTTGGGGCAGCAGCAGATTCTAAGTTTTTTCGTTCCAAGTTTCCAGACAAACAGTTGCTACTCCAGAGATAGCAGACTTCGTTAGGGTTGCTTTCTTGTTTTTGTTTGTTTGGTTTTGGGGTTTTGTTTTGGGCAATTTTTTTTTTGGGGGGGGGGGCGGGGGGGAGAAAGGTGGGGGGAGGATGATACATGAAAGTCAGTCAGAATCCCCATACTCTCTTTCCCTAAGCCCCTGAAAGCCCTCATGAAACTTGAATAACTGCAGGTCAGAGAAAAGCAAAAAAGACTCCACGTAGTTGGAT